CATCTTGTTAGGGTGTCGGAATGGTATGGAGCTTAAAGTTTACAATCACCCTGAATGTTGATTGAAGATAAAATTTATGATCCCAAATCACCATGACAAACACAGAAGCAATGAGAAACGGTGTGCAGGAAAATTATGCGGGTCACACTTTCATCTACGATCGATATCTGATCATAATCAGTGCAGTCTGTCTTCTGGCAAATCGACCAGTCGACAACAAGTTCACCACTTGTCTCTCCCCCCATTCAACCATTTAGTAAGTGCAATATGACCTACCTTTGAATTGATTTGACCGGTTTCGAAGTCGAGAACAAGATGTGATTAAGTCGGGTTGAACAACTCAAGCCCCTCACTGTGAGGTTCATATTGCAATAACTGATACCTCTTTTCTCCGATCGAACAGTCAGTGATGGCTACCTTCGTTGGATAACCGGATCACCGAGACCTACCGCAGGTGCTCCACGAACAAATCGGTAAACGAATAAAGCTTGCACTTAAATAGTTTGCCTTACCTTGGAGATAGGTTTTAGTAAGAATTCCTATCCCCGACGGTAAAATCATCTTTACAGTTTCAATCTCACCAGACTCGGTAGAACATTCCGGTAGCTGAAATTCCTAATTATAAATACTCTGTTGTTGTTGGTGTGTTCTCCGAGCTGGAAGTGTTATTTACAGACGTTTCGTAGCCAGGCTAGGCAACATCATCAGTGCAACTTCAGGGAAGCGCCAGTTCTCAGTGTGGCCGTGCTTATGTTTGTTTGAGGGTTGTGATTAGCCGGTTACGTCCCTTCAATCTTATTGGTCAATTGTGACCCTTTGCTGTGATTTGATTGATTGCGTCGTTTGCGTTGTGAGGCCCCCTCTTTCCCCATTGGTAGATCCCCTTTTCACGCTATTAAAAGCACCGTGAGAAGTTTTGTTTGGGCCTACGTTTTGAGGCAGATATTACATCGTCAAGGAGACATAATGATAGTGTATCATTCTCATGATTGTTGGTCAATCAATCGTTATTTTCTTCAATAATAAAATTCGTCCTCTCACATTTCATACTACAAAACTGTAATAGTTGAAGTACGCACCGGTCACCAATTACGAATCACTTATAGGAAATCATGAATGCCACGTAACCACTGAATCACACTGCCACTTGTACGGCGGTATCCCACGTAGCCGAGAGTGAAGGAAAAGACCACAGGAGTAGCACTTTATTCATTAAGTAGATCCAGGGGGTTTAAATAATAGTTAATTGGTCATCCAGGTATCTACCAATCGCGTGCTCGTATTTCTGGCTTCTTGCAGCGTTTCTCAGAACAGCACGGCTTCTGATTGGCCGATATAATCGGCCTATGATTCGCTGTCTGGAAGCGGTAACGAGTAGGCTATTTGCCGGCATCACCTGGGGAGCTCATCACAATTGCCCAGAAACTGTAACTTGTCGCCTCGTGGTTTGCGTCATCCCGTAATGTGGGATCACCATAATATGCCGAATCTCCTGCAACACGATGTGGCGGAATCATCACCAGTTCACGCGTATCTCGACTGGTAACTACATGCACACACACACAAACGCATATACCCAATTGGCGCAATAATTGGGTGAAAACGAACGGACCTAAATTGAACAAGAGAGGGAGAGAGGGAGATTTAACAAGCAGTGGTAACATGCGAACTGCAACAAAAAACAAAAAAGTAAGACCATCACAGACAGTTAAGTAGAAATGATATTGCAGAGTTGTTGAAAAGCACACTAGTAGTAGGATGAATGAGAGAGTGAGAGAAGCGACAACATCTAGGGTAGGGTTATTTGGCCAAAACCCGCACCACGACCACCGTCTGACTTTTCTCCCGATGTGTATTGCATGGCAGCTTCATTAGATTGGCCACTTCTCCCTTCCTGAAGATTGTATCTTGGAATAGTCATTAAATGCAAGTGAAATAAAATGAAATGAATACTGTAGGCAATGCCACAGAATACTATTCATTGGTAATTACACGCCCTGGTCAGAAGTGACTGAGAACTCGGATACCCCGGATTGTAGGAGTTTCACTCACCGATTGTCATCCACTGTTTTGCGAACACAGCGAAAACCTATCCGCGGTTTGAGATCGACAGGAGTCAACCGAGTTGGAGGAAAGCGGTACTGTAGAGGGATCGACGAGAGGATCAGTCGTTAACCTTTATTTCTTTGTATGTAAAATGGGGATCAGGTGGTGTTTACAGTTTGATCAGGAACTCAAATTGTCATAGATTATTTCTGCTTCGATCATACGCTATGGTGTAAAAATTTTGCCCCGATTCTGAGGTGACGAGCAGTTCGGGTATCAAAATGGGTATCATCGAATATGGTTCACTCTCAACTACAGATCACGGTGCTGGATAATTTAAGTAGTGCCAAAATAGCTGCGTAACCATTTTTGTGTTGAGATACTGAGATACAGAACACGATAGCTTCAACGAGACAAGTTCACTCGCACTAATTGCTCACATTCAGTGGACGATGGTGCATAAGGCATTGGTTAACCAGTCGGTGAAAATTTTATTGGGTTTAGAATGTCCCAAACCACGTGATCTCTATTGAGCACGTTGGATGAAAAATGAAGCCGGCATTGATCAGCAAACCACTATTAATTTATAAATTCCATTTGTTCTCCTAATTTTCAACATCTGATGCTCATACTGTTATAATCCCAGAAGGCCGTGCTGGTCGAGGATACTCGATCATTGCGAATACCGGTCAGGATATGGTTAAATTGTCATTCATATAGCAGAATATCTCATTCAGAACAAGTTTGAAGAATTCTCGCAAACACACAGGATATGTAATGCAGCGGTCCACCATCGGAGGCGTATTCTTGTGTTCACCGTACCAACAGTTCCAGTTCATTTTTGGTCGTAGAAAGAAACCACTTATCGCTGATCTACTCATAAGTGAGTAAGCAGTATTTCACAACAATTCTAGTGGGTAGAATCAGTGATCAAAAATGAATAGGGTTGCACAAATCAATTCAAAATAAGTAAAACTTACAAAACTACCTGTTCTGTCTTGACGGAAGCGAGGTATTTCATTTCAAAAATCGTTTCTAGTCCAACATAGTGTGTAAACGACGAAACCGTGAACTCAACCACGGCCATTGTCGTTGACCCACGAAGTGATGAACTAAGACGAGAAACATACTGCTGAGTAGATAGAATTTTCAGCTGCCATTGAGTTACCCGACAAAACAGTGCCCAGGTTTTTTATTTTTATTTTTACACACGTTTGACGCCAGACTGAGTGCCAGACAAATCCTGGTTCAATAACCTTTATGAAAAAGAAAAACGTTCCATGATTTATATATGGGCCGAATACCGCCAGATTGCCCAGACCAAGGCAGGTGAACCTTTTTGAGGAATCCACAACCGGAGCCTTCGGCTATCCGAGGTCTTACCCACAAGACAGCGGGACGGTGTGCGAAAACCGCAATCCATTGGGGTCTGATGTCCAGTTCATCGGATCATACGTACTTTGGACGGAATCTAACGTCCAAGGTGCTCAACACACCTCGATACCGGTGACCACTACCACAACCAGGAAGTTGTGTGTGCGGTTCGTACACCTGCTCTTGGTTGGTTTGGAATCAGGGTTTTTGGTCAGATTCCGTAGGTGAACTACCATTGGCCATCAACCCGGTTATAGCCCCGAATGTCGGCTTTTCGTCCTCTCACTTTGATGGGAAGACACCTCCGGCGCCGGAACACAATGTGTAGGGCTTCATCAACAGAGGCTATTCGAAACGCTTGGTTGTATGGGAGCATTTCGCGAGGTGCAATGGAAGGGTGACCAACCACAAACTTAGTCACCCACCCCCGACGAAACTGTGCCCCGTGGCAATGGGTGATCACAACTCACACAAAACCGGCCACACATCCCGCCTTCCCCCACCCCCACCCCCTCCAAAAATAAACCGTTTATGTATGTGCGTGTGTGTTTGTGGTTGGGACGAGCAGTCGCTACGCCTTAAACCTTTGATGCTCGTGCAAAGCCGGTCACAATGGTCAGTCCTTGTAGGATAGACTCAACGGATGGTGGCAAAGCGCATTTGTGAAATGATTGCCGTTTCACTGGTCATACGAACCAAATAGCAAGCAAGCTCGTTTTCCGTGCTACATCAACTGACTAAATACAACACAATTTATAATCGAATAAAACCGGCTGGGAGAGGAGATACATATCCGTGAAGGAAATCAGGATTTATGAGAGATAATGGACTTGCGAAAATTGATGTTCGTGAATGTGTGGAAAGTGAGAGACAGAGGTTGGTTGTGAATGGGTGGGTAGTGAATGAGTGGTTGATCATGAACGGCGGTTGTGTCATCAGATTGTTAGTGGATGGTCATGGTTAGACCAGTGTTATTACAAACTCTTTGTGGGAGCACAAGGCTGTGTGTGTGGACACGGATGGCAATCGCCTCGGCTGTTGTCAAAAATCTTAACTTGAGCCCTTTGGATAACCTACCCTTAACTGTACAGAGAGAGAGACAGAAAACCTCAAGCACATTGACTGTGTGATTAGACTCAGTCAAATGGTTCGCAATTTCCGTCACCCCGGTCCTTGTCAATCCCTGGTTTAACCAAACGGGATAATGCTCCTTGATGCGAGCAGATAGGCCCCTCACTGTTCGATCCACAAAACTAGCTCCACAGGAACAGGTGACTTGATAAACACAAAATGAGGTCACATCCGGGGCTAATCTATCTTTAGTTTGCATAAAGAGGAGAGTCTGCAAGAACATTGGTCTTACCATGACCATCTGGTAATCTGGTGACGTAACCTCCGTTCATGATCAACCACGCATTCACCTACCCATCCATTCAGAACCAGCCTCTGTCTCTCACCTTCCGCGCACACACACAGACATACACATTCACGAACATCAATTATCGCAAGCCCATCATCTCTTTAAACCCTGATTTCCCTCCCAGATATTTGTTTGTTTTATTTAGCCAGTTTACGTAGCACCGATAGTGCATTTAGTCGGGCTAAACAGGTAAGGTCTGAGGTTTCGGAAAACCGGCGAAAATTCCACACCCATCATTTGGTGGGTTGAAGTTAATAAGAATGTAATAAAATACTTGAATACAATAGGAATTATTCTGTTTTTCTTTCTATTTTTTCGCTTCTACAAAGATTAATCAACCAAAAGCTTGTGGACGATCGTGAAGAACGACGACAGCGTTATTTGGCTTATCTCAGGCATCAACCTCAGCAGGAGTCGGGTGTCAATTCTTCGGAAGGAGGTAGACAAGGAATGCAGATTGTCGAAGAACCAGTTGACCGATCTAGTTCCGAGATGGAATTTGATGGTGATCCAACTGGAATGCAGATCGACAGTGTGAATAGCATGCCCGCGTGGGCTTCCATCCGTGTCACTGCGCACAATACAGCAAGTCGGGCTGCTGAGGCTGCTCGCAGAGGATCAATTCTTGGAGCATATTTCAATGCCGGGTAAGTTAGACGCCATAGCCTTGAGTTTGTTCTCGCCGCTGACTGATATCTTCCAATAAATTTGATTTGATTGATTGACTGATTAGGACTGACCATCATTCATCGCGTGAATAGCGATGAAGTCAGACGATGGGTGCTAGTGTGATGGAAGGTGATACAAAGAGAGCCCCGCTTAGCAAATGAATCAAGAATGGGGCCCATCCAACCAGATGCGCAGACGTATCGGCCGAAAGTACTTCGCGAGACAATGTCGACTACCACTCGAAACGAACGAATCGATCATTACAACCCGACGGACAATCCGCATCTAACCAGAAAGATATTCACCGAATATCACAACGTCGGAGCTGTCAATCAACGTGTCTCGTGCTATGATCGGGTCAAACCAGTTGGAACGGCACGCGGAAGAAGAGGCAACGTACGTGCCAAGTGTGGACCAAAACCAACAGGGATGGACCAACAGAGTGAAGCATGAATCATCCTGGCGAGAAGGCGAGTTGGCTGGCAAACGCTTTTGATCCAATTCCGAAAACAACTGGTATCTGCTTCCAATTTTGTACAATTAATTTTCAACCGCACGGCAGGATGATTCATGCTTCACTCTGTTGGTCCATCCCTGTTGGTTTTGGTCCACACTTGGCACGT